AGCATTGGCCTTGTTACAATGACCTCTAACAGACCCAGCTCTGTTTTCCTTTCCCTTGGGGAAAAGAAATCACAAGGTGGCAACAGAATCTCTCTTACAAATGTTTAGAGCCATGGTCTAATCTCCACAAAGCTTCTAACAAACTGTGTTCTTTGAACAAGTGCATTTCCTCTCTTATGACCTAAAGTTCTTCTTAGGCAAGGCAATAAGAAGGACTCTATGTTCTTTCATCTTTTCTGGGAATAAATTATGATTCATATTCCAGGGAACAAGCAAATGCAACTATACATTTATTCATGTTCCTCTTTTCCCATACACAAATGGTTTGAAGTAGCTTATGAAATTACCCTGGGACCTCAAGATTAACAATATTCAATTCCATGTACAACATGGATAAAATGGGCAAATTCATAAGGAAAAAAATTGTAATACCCATTTTAAAAATATTCACTCAAAATGAATTATAAATAATTTTTAAAAACCACAGTTCTTTTCTTCTTTAGTTCAAGTCTTTCATCATCTCATTCCCCTGGAATTCGAAGTGACTCATAACTGACCCTCTACCTGGTTTTCAGAGGCTGTAAACCACACAAGAGGAGATTGTCCATATTATTCTTCCAAGGAGCAGCTGGTGGATCCAAACTTCCCACCTTTGGGTTGGCAGTACAATTCCCTAGCCACTAAACCACCAAGGCTCTCTAGTACTTTTTAAAGAGGTAGATTACTACTCACTATTGCCAAAAGCTGTGATGAAACAAGCACTCATCTATACTTTCGGTGGACTGATTGAAAAAAATAAATCATATATATCTCAAGGTAATTTTGCAAAGGAGAATTTAAATCCATTTTTCCCTCCCAAAGACAATAACACCAAAGATGTAAAGAGATATGACTTTTTGTGTATACAGTAATGATTAATAGTAATGTCTACACAATAAAAAAACTGGAAACTAAAGCTTAATAATTAAGGAATTAGGAAATAAACTGATCCACTCATAGTATAAAGAAAATGTCATTTCCTATTTCCAATTGTTGTTGTTGTTATATATTGTTGAATCAGAACTGACTTATAGCTGACTCTCCAATATATTTTAAGAGGCTGTAAATTGAAGAGAGGTGATTGCCTACCTAGCATAAGGAGACTATATAGTATACTGGCAAATGAAAGTAGCAGGATACAGCATTAGGTAATTAGTATGATCCAAGGATCCACAATCAATACACTTGGTACCAGCAGTCAGGAGAAGTATTACACTAGAAAATCAGTAGTCAGGGATCTCTCCAAAGTATTGAGGAGCAATGATGTCAGTTAGAGGACTAAGATGGGCCTTATTCAGGCCATGATCTTTTCAGTCACTCACTATGCATATAAGAGTTGGACAGTAAATAAGGAAGACTGAAGAAATGATTCTTTTGAGTTGTGGTGTTGGAGAAGTGTACTGAACATTCCCAAAACTGCCAAGAGAGCAAACAGATATACCCTTGGAAAAGGTGCAGTCAGAGTGCTCCTTGGAGGCAAAGACAATAGAGCTTCATCTGACATACTCTGGGCATGTTGCTAGGAGAGGTTATTCCTTGGAGAGGGACATCATGCTTAGAAAGGTGGAGGGAAGGTGAAGGCTAGGAGGACCCTCAACCAAGTGGATTGATATAGTGACTGAATCAATGGGCTTGTGTCAGATTGCAAGGATAGCACAGGATAGTAACAGGGTTCAGATCTGTTGTCCATAGGGTTGCTATGAGTCAGGTTCAACTTGATGACACCTAACAACAATAACAGCTCTATAAAAAGAAGCTCTGGTGGCTTAGTGGTAACAAACTGTGCTGCCAACACAAGGATACACAGTTTAAATCCTTCAGCTGCTCTGCAGAAGGAAGACAGACCATCTTCTCTCTTAGGATTTACTGCTTCTGAAAACCCTCTGGAAGGTCAACTATGGGTCAGTTTCAACTCAACAGCACACAACAACATCAAAACCTGTAAGAAGTTCTACTCCAAAACCTTTCTGGCAATTGGACTCCACACAGTGGCTCTGAGGGAGAAATATGGGCACTTCCTCCCTTCATACAATTTACAGCCTCCAGAAACATGCTGGTCAACTATGAGTCACCTCATATGCAACAGCAGTGGATGAGTGAGTGAGTGAACAACATAAACGTATAAAAGAAGGTAAATAACACAAATATGTTAACAGGAAATACACCTCAATGTATATGATGGACAAGTTTTACTTTCTCTTACATTGTTACTGCAAAGACACTATATTTTTTTGCTTATTTCTTTCTTTTCTGCCCACTAATAACTAGTACCAAACCAAAGCACCAATCTCACTACTGTCGAGTAAGTTCCAACTTGAAGTAATCATCAATTGTCTTTCTGAGGCTATAAATATTTATGGGAGAACTGCCCATCTTTTTTTCCTGCTGAGCAGCTCATAGATCTAAACCACTGACTTCATTTAGCAGCACAACACATACAACACTATACCACTAGGTCTTCTACAACTAATACATATTTTTCAGTTCTTACAAGAAGACCAACTTCTGGTAGAGGCTGGTAGGGTTTATAGCCATTCATTAAAGTGAGATTACCATGTGACTTTAGCCTAAAAACAGTCTATAGATCATTTGATCAGATGGTTTGGGGCTGTTGACGTTCTTGCTGGAGCTTTTTTTTATTAAATTGAGGGATATTTATAGATATTGCATTGATATTTCATGATCTAAAAAATTTTAAACTCACATAATTGAAATATCTCCACTCAAAAATGAGATCCTAATGTATAACCCATATTGAAGATACCGAGTTTCTAACCAGCACAACTACAACTTATAACGGCCTTATGAGCAACAGATCTGAACCTTGCCTTTTCCTGCACCATCCTCACCATATCTGATATGCTCAAATCCATTGTTAGAGTTACTGTTTAAATTCCTCTGGTAGAGGGTCTTCCTCTCTTTCTCCGACCCTTAACCTTTCTCAATATGCACAAAGATGTGAGGCAAAGTTTTACCATTCTTGTCTTTAAGCAGCAAGCTAGTTATACTTCCTCTAAGATAGAAAGATTGTTCTTTTGACAGTCCATGGAGTTTTTACTACTATTCTGACAATGCAATTCAAAGGCATTATTGATCCTCCTCCTCCTCCTCCTCCTCCTCCTCCTCCTCCTCCTCCTCCTCTTCTTCTTCTTCTTCTTCTTCTTCTTCTTCTTCTTCTTCTTCTTCTTCTTCTGTTAATTCATGGCTCAACTATAAGGTGCATAGGAAGTAGTTGAAAAGATCATGGCTTGGATCAGGATCACCTTAGTCTTTAAACTGACACCATTGCTTTTTAGCACTTTGGAGAAGCCTGTTATAGAATATATTACCAATGTAATGCATCTTTCGATTTTTTGACTGCTTTTATCATAAGTGTTGATTGTGGATCTAAGTAAAAGGTAATTGTTGACAAGTTCAATCTTTTCTTCAGCTGTCATAATGTTACTTATTGGACAAGCTGTGAGACTTTTTATTTTCTTGTTGCTGAGGTGTAATCCATAGTAAAGGCTGCAGTCTTTGATTTCCGGCAGCAAATGTTTTCAATTGCACTTCACTTTCTGCAAGTGAGATTATGTCATCTGCATAGTGCAGGTTTTGGATGAGTCTTCCTCCAATCCTGATGTCACATTGATCTTCATATAGTCCAGCTTCTTAAATGGCTTCCTCGGCATGCACACTGAATGGATATCGAGAAAGAATGCAATCCTGATGCACACTTTCCCTGATTTTAAACTATGTAGCATTTTCTTTGCACATTCAGAATAGGGCAGGGTTCAGGGCTGTTGTGCATAGGGATGCTATGAGTTGCAAGTGACTCAGTGGCACATAACAACAACAGCAACAACAACAGTATTCTCTTGTTCTGTTTGCACAACTGCTTATTGATCTATGCATAGGAACACGTTCACACAATTAAGTGTTCTGGGATTCTCATTCTTCTCAATGTTATTAATGATTCTATGTCATCCACATATAGATGTATGGATCAAATGCCTTTGCATAGTCAAGAAAACTCAAGTAAACATCTTCCTGGTATTCTCTGCTTTCAGCCATCATCTATCTGACATCAACAGTGAAATCCTCCATCCCTCTCTTGAATCCAGCTTGAATTTTTGGCAGTTCCCTGTCATTCTTTTCCAGACATCTCATCTTTAATAATCTTCAGCAAAATTTTATTTGCATATGTCATTTATTTGTCACTTCTTTTCAATCTTTTTTTTTTGTTAAATGAGGACCAGCATGGATCTTTTCTAGTCAGTTGACAAGGTCTTCTAAATTCCTTGGCATAGATTAGTGAGCACATCCAGAAACAGGGTCTGTTTGTTGAAACACCTCAATTGCTATTCCATCAATTCCTGGGATCTTGTTTTTATTTTGCCAATGCCTTTAGTGCCATTTGTTGCTGTTGTTATGTGCCATTGAGTCGGCAGAGACTCATAGAAGCCCTATGTACAACAGCCCTAAACCCTGCACTGTTCTGTGCCAATCTTACTGTCTCTGACACATCTACCCACATTACCCCAGTCACTGAATCAATCCATCTCATCTAGGGTCTTCCACTCCTGCGCTGTCCCTCCACCCTCCCAATCATGATGTCCCTTTCCAAGGACTGGTCCCTCCTTGCAACATGTCCAATGTATTTCAGATGAAGCTTCAGAATCCTTGCCTCCAAGAAGCAACCTGATTTAACCATCTCCAGGATGAACTTGTTTGTTCTCTTAGCAGTACATAGTATATAGTCAATACTCTTTTCCAACACCACAGCTCAAAGGCATCATCAATTCTCCTTCTATCATCCCTAGTCATTGTTCTCTGATGCATAGATAGTGCAGTTTAGCTACTTTAAAAACAATTTCATGTGTTGTGGCAAAGACCATGACATACAATACCAGCAGAAATTTGATAGGCATGTTCTATAAGCATACAGTATATTTAGTGATATGCAAGAAGTAAAATTTATTTCATATAAATTTCACTGAAATAGACCCAAAAACAGATATAAAAAAGTTCTACAAGGTCACCATAAAGTCAGGGAATGTATACAATATTTTCAAGGAACTTTTAAATCTCTAAAATAGGCATGTACCCACACACCTAATATTTGTACATGCAAGCATATATGCATGTACATTTATGGAGTTCCTGGATGGTGCAAATGCTTAATGTGTCCAATTGAAAACTGAAATGTTAGAGGTTTCAGTCCACCCAGAGGTGCCACAGAAGAAAAGCCTGGCAATCTACTGACAAAAATCTGTCTTTGAAGACTGTCATTCAGTGCATGTCAGTTCTATTCTGACATGCATGGAATCACCATAAGAGAGTTGAACGGGCAGCAACTAGGATTGGAATACGTTTCTAGACTCTATGACATTATAGGCACAATGCAGAATGGAAATCAAGTTGTACATACCTGGAATCCTATTGAGCGTTACCCAGAAATGTTCATCAGGAGAGTAGGTGTCTTTTGACCACTTAAGTAGGTCAATGGCCCTCTGGTCTTGAAGAACAAAATTAGCAAATTCTCTTGTAAAGGCAACATAGGCAGAGCCAAAGTAAATGGTCAGATTATGGGGAGCAGGAGCTTTTCTCATCAAAGTCCATAGCATGAAGGAAAACAAAGAGTATCTCTGTTCTAAGTGCACATATTTGGTCCTTCTGATAATATGAGGAGGAGGCAGCACCCCAGGGGTAATATTTTTCCCCTTGAGCCCTTTCAGATACTGAACTATCTCCTTGTTGGTTTTCAGGGGAAAGTCTTGCCCGCAGGTGTTGATCACATATTTCCAGGGAACCCTGGAGGCCACCAGGTCCCGAAGGCAGTTCAGGTCAGCCTGGAGCCTTGAAATTCCTGCATAGACCACAGATTCACTTTTTGAGGCCAGAAAGACATTTGAGAAGCAGCTTTGTAGTTTTCCCACTGCCTTTTTGAAGGCATCTGTGGCTTTCTCATCCACATGGACACAATAGACATTTTGGGGCATGTAAATAGCTCTGAAGAGTCTTTCAAATGTATCAAAGTCTTTGTGGATCACCATGATATACAGCAGAGGGAATTCAGCTTCTTCTTGAGACAGAGGCTCCATTATATAATGGTTTTGTATTAAGTACTGTTGACAAGATACATCTCTAAGTGATGTCATTGGTGTAATTTTATCCAAGAATATTTTCTTTCCTGTCACAACCATATCACAGGCTTCTGCAAGGGCTGATGTATTTGGGATTTCCCTCACATGTAAGTATTTGTCTGCAACTATGGAGTTGGTGTACAAGATAAAAACAGCTAGAGACATGACTGTCAGCCCTATAATACACCCAAACAACTTCAGCTTCATTTTCTCTGTGGTTATTTTTTCTGTCACTTGTGTTTTGTATTACACAATTCTTAAGCAAAGCTACAGGTTCACCCACAGATAAGGAATCTGCTCTAACTTGTTCTCTGGAAGCGTAGAAACGCCACTTGTAGAGGAAAAGGAGGATCACCACTAGTCTTCCATTCTTATCTTATATTGAAGGAATTAAGGAGATCTTGGGAAATGGGCTGCTGAGGCAAACTAGCTAACTTGGCAAGAGTCAAGCATAGTTGGGCAGCTTCATCCTGTAGTCCAGACCCTGCAAAATCAGCTCTGGCTGTCACCTCAATGTGAGCTCTTTCTGAGAGGATTAGCAATAGAATATGTTTTGGATCCACCTTTACCCAGACAGGGCCACCATCTCAATCACTACTATCTTCAAATACAGGGGACAGTATATGTCTTCAATTCTGTCAGTCACAGCTGTTCTGAGGCAGCTTGACATATACTTTGACAATATCCAGAGTTTCTTTTGACCTAAAAACAAAAATAGAAAAATCATAAAACTTTAGAGCTGGAAGGAATTGCAATAGCTCATTCAACTGACAAATGGAGAACATAAGAGTATGAATTCTAAGGTTCAATCACGTGTTTGCACCTATGATCTCACTGGCAATTCTATGAGGACAGAGGTGACAGTCTATCCATTTTTTTTATGCTGTTGTAAGCAGCTAGGAGTTGGGGGAGCAAGAAACATGCCTATCTCTAACCCTTTATTATGTGTTAAATTGTGTGTTCCCAACAAATATCTGTTCAAGTCATAAATGCTGGTGCCTATGAATATGAGCTTATTTGGAAACAGTAGCATTGCCAATGCAATTCAGTTAACATGAGGTTAGATGGAGCAAGTAAAGAGGACCTTCATACAATATGTCCTGAGGAACAATGATATTAGTTTGAAGACTGTTGTTGTTAGGTGCCTTTGAGGTGAGTACAATTCATAGCAACCCTATGAACAAAAGATCTGAAACCAGTCCTGTCCTGCATCATCCTCACACTTCCTGATATACAAGAGCCTATTGCAGCAGTCACCCTGTCAATCCACTTGGTTGAGGGTCTTCCTCTCCTTTGCCAAAACTCCACCCTTCCCAACATCAAGTCCCTCTCCAAGGAATGGCACCCCCTAGCAATATGTCCAAAACATTTTAGGATTCTCATCATTCTTTCCTGCAAAGAGCACTCAGTTGCACCCTTTCCAAGACATATCTTTACATTTTCTTGGCTGTCCATGGAATATTTAGTGCTCTTCTCCAACACCACAGCTCAAAGGCATCAATTCTTTTTCTGTCTTCCTTATTCATTGTCCAGTTCTCAGGCACATAGCTAGTAATTAGAAAGACCATGGCCTGAATTAGAAGCACCTTAATCCTCAAATTGACATTAGTACTTCTCAATAATTTTGAAAGGTTCCTAACTGCAGATTTTCCCATTGCAATGTGTCTCCTTATTTCCTAACTGCTGGTACCATGGGTGTTAATTGTGGATCCAAGCAAGATGAAGATGTTGACAGTTTCAGTCTCCTCCCCATCCATCATGACACTGCCTATTGGACCAGTGGTAAGAATCTTTGTTTTCTTGATACCAAGACACAATCCACGCTGAAGGCTGCATTCCTTGATCTTCTGCAACAAGTACTTCAAATTCTCCTCACTTTCAGCAAGTAAAGTTGTGTCATCTGCATAACACAGGTTATTGATGAGTCTCCTTCCAACCCTGATGCCACACTCCTCTTCATAGAGTCCAGCTTCTGGGTTAATTTGCTCAGCTTATACATTGAACAGGTATGGAGACAGAATACATCCCTGATGCACTTCCTTCCCAATTTCAAACAATGCAGTACTCTCCTGCTCCGTTTGCACAACAGCCTCCTTCTCTAGGTGTAGGCTCCTCATGAGCACAATCAAATGCTCTGGGATTCCCATACTTCTCACTGTCAACCACAACTTGTCAGGATCCACACAGTCAAATGCCTTTGCATAGTCAATAAAGCACAAACAGACTTTCTCCTGGTATTCCTTACTTTCATCCAGGATCCATCTGAGATCAGCAATGATATCCCTGGAGCCTCTTCTAAATCCCCCTTGAACTTCTGGCAATTCCCTATCCATGTACCGTTCAAGCCATTTTTGAGTGATCTTCAGCAGTATTTTGCTGTCATGTGATATCAATGATACTGTTCAATAATTTCCACATTCAGTTGGAAAACTTTCCTTTGGAATAGGGACAAATATGGACCTCTTCCAATCTGTTGGGCAGATAGCCATCCTCCAAATTTCCTAGCATAGACTGGTGAGTACATCCAAAGCTGCATCTGTTAATTTAAACAAGTCAGTTGGTATCCCGATGAATCCTGGGTCCTCGTTTTCTGCCAATGCTTTCAATGCGGCTTCCACTTCCTCTTTCATTACCATTGGCTCCTGTACATTTGGTATTTCTTGAAATTTTTCAGTGTCAATCAATTCTTTCCTAGTACAGTGACTCTGTGTATTCCTTCCATCTTCTTTTGGTGCTTTCTGGGTCATTCAATACATTGCTCATAGCATCTTTCAACATTGCGACACAAGGCCTAAATTTATTTTTTAGTTCTTTCCGTTTGAGAAATTCAGAGCAAGTTCTTCCCTTTTTATTCTCCAGTTCCAGTTCTCTGCACATTCCATTATAATATTTTACTTTGTCTTCCCCAGCTACCCTTTGAAATCATCTTCAGCTCTTTCACCTCAACATATTTTTCTTTATATTTGGCTTCTCGACATTCCAGTGCAATCTTTAGAGTCTCTTCTGATATCTATTTCAGGTGTTGTGTTTTTTGTTGTTTTTTTCTTCTTTCTCCCCTGTTTTAGCAATGATCTTTTGCTTTCTTCATGGATGATAACTCATCTGGTCTTTTATCATTGGTGTTCAATGTTTCAAACCTATTCTTAAGATGATCATGAATTTCTGACGGAATTGATTCAAGATCATGGCTTGGTTCCTGTGGACTTATTTTCTTTTTCTTTGGCCTCAGTTTGAACTTGCTTATGAATAATTGATGATATGATCCACAGTCTGCCCCTGGCCTAGTTTTTAGTGCTGATATTGAATTACTCAAATGGTTTCTTCCAGAAATGTAGTCAATTTGATTCCTATACAACCCATCGAGTTAAATCCACATGTAAAGTCATCTTTTGTGTCTTTTTGAAAAAGTATTTGCAATGAATAAATCATTATAAATAAAAAATTCAATCATTCTATTTGCAGCCTCATTTCTATCACCAAACTCATATTTTCCAACTACTGTTCCTTCTTCATGGTTTCCTACTTTTGCATTCCAGTCACCACCAATTATCATTATTGCATCCTGATTTCATGTTTGGTCCATTTCAGACTGTAAAATTTGGTAAACATTCTCAGTTTCTTCCTCTTTGGCACTAGATGTAGGAGCATATACTTGAATAATAGTTATATTAATGGGTCTTCCTTGTATGCATATCGATATTATCCTATCACTCACAATATTATATTTCAGGATAGAACTTAAAATTGACTTTTTGACTATGAATGCAACACCATTCTTCTGGTTTTCATTCCCTGCATAGTATATCATATGATTATCTGATTCAAAGTAGCCATAGCTGGTACATCACTTCCCACTAATGCCTAGTATGTCAATATTAATGCATTTTCATTTTTATCAATATCCAGTTTTTCAACATTCAAGCTATGAACATTCCATGTTGTTGTTGTTGTTAAGTGCCATCGAGTCAAAGGTGACTCATAGCAAACCTATGAACAAAAGTCCTGGACACTTGTATGACTTTCATCCTTTCTCCAGGTTCATAAGGTTTCCGGAAGCAAGCTATTTACGGAAATGGATGCCACTCCTGCTTCTAATTGTTTTAATCAGGGAGCTCCACCCAACACCATCCACTGTGGGTAACCATTATCTCATTAGACACATCAATGTCACAGTGTTCAGCTTTGCAGCAACCACAAGTTACCTCTGTACAGCAAGTGGACACACCAGGGTTATACAACCTAGAAGAATGTTTGATCAAAAACAATGAAAAACTGGCTTGAGGGCCACAACTGAGGGCCCTATATTATTTTACCATTCCGGAATGACCAAAAGCTGGCAAACTCTGAGCCAGAGACCCTTAATTCACCTCGCAAGTCCACTCTGCGGCCACCCATTTGGGACAAAAAAGAAAGCCACAAACACCCTACCGTTCCGGACTTGCCTCTCCTTTCAGGCTCCAGAGGCCCTATGCATCCATCCAGCTGACACTGAGACATCAGAGAGACTCACCCTTATGCTCTCAGAGTGGCCATCCTTTTCAGTATTTTAGCATTCCAGCACACCCAAATGCTGGCAAACTCTGAGCCAGAGACCCCTAATTCACCTAGCAAGTCTACTCTGAGGCCACCCACTTGGGGCAAAAAGAAAGCCACAAATGCCCTAGCATTCCCGACTTACCATCCCTTCCAGGCTCCAGAGGCTGCACGCATCTGTCCAGCTGACACTGATACCTAGGAGAAACTCACCCTTATGTTCCAGGCGTGGCCTTCCATTTCAGTATTTTACCATTTGGGCATGCCCAAATGCTGGAAAACTCTGGGCCTGAGACCCCTAATTCACCTAGCAAGTTCACTCTGGGGCCACTCACTTGGGACAGAAAGAAAGCCACAAACGCCCTAGCATTCCAACTTGCCTCTCTTTCCAGGCTCCAAGAGTTCGCATGCATCCATCCAGCTGACACTGAGACTCAGGAGAGACTCGCCCTTAGACTGCAGGTGTGGCCATCCATTTCAGTATTTTACCATTCTGGCACGCCCAAACATTAACAGACTCTGAGCCAGAGACCAGTAATTCACCTAGCAAGTCTCCTCTGAGGCCACCGCTTGGGGCAAAAAGAAGCCACAAATGCCCTAGCATTCCTGACTTGCCTCTCTTTCCAGGCTCC